ACGGGATCGGGGTTTGAGGGACCCTCGGGGGATTTGGGGACACGGGGACAGGGTTTGTGGGACCCTCGGGGGATTTTTGGGAATGGGATCGGGGTCTGAGGGACCCTCGAGGGGTTTGGGGTGCGGGATGGGATGGGGTTGGGATTTTCGGAGGTTTTGGGGTCCCCTCGGGGAAGGAGAGCGGGGACGGGATCGGGATTTTCGCGTTCCCCAGGGAAGTTTTGGGATTCCGTGGCTCCTCAGGGAAGGGCAGCGGGGATAGATCGGGATTTTGGGAGGTTTTTGGGGTGTGGGATCGGGATTTTGGGAGGTTTTGGGGTCCCCTCGGGGAAGAAGAGCGGGCTGCAATCGGGATTTTCAGAGGTTTTGGGGTACGGAATGAGATCAGGATTTTGGGAGGTTTTGGCGGGACAGGATCGGGCATTTGGGGAGTTTTTGGGGCGCGGGATGGGATCAGGATTTTGGGAGGTTTTGGGATCCCCTCGCAGAAGGGCAGTGAGGCTGCAATCGGGATTTTAGGAGGTTTTGGGGTCCCCTGGGGGAAGGCCGCTGGGATGGGATCGGTATTTTGGGATATTTTGGGGTGCGGGATGGGGATTTTGGGAGGTTTTGGCGGGACAGGATCAGGATTTTGGGATATTTTGGGGTGCGGGATCGGTATTTTGGGAGTTTTTGGGGTGCGGGGTCGGTATTTGGGGAGTTTTCGGGGCGCTCACCGTCTCGGCGCGGATCAGCAGCTCGGGGGTTCCGGGGTTGCCGCAGTCGCCGCTCCGGGAGCCTTTATAGCCCGGCGGGGGCGGCGCTCGCCCCCGGCCCGTGGCCCCCGGGCTTTCCCAGCGCTCGGAGCCGCCCCGGTTTCGCCCGCGCCCCATTTTTGCCCAGCGAGCTGTGAGATCCCAGCGGGGGGAGGAGCGGGGCGGTCACCGAACCCCCAAAACTGTCCCGGAAACTGTCCCCGAGGTGTCCCCGAGGTGTCCCTGAGGTGTCCTCGAGGTGTCCTCGTGGTGTCCCCGTGGTGCCCCCACAATGTCCCCTCGGCGTCCCTGTTCCCGCAGTGTCCCCGTGATGTCCCCAAAGTGTCCCCACAATGTCCCTGCGGTGTCCCCGAGGTGTCCCCATTATGTCCCCACAGTGTCCTCTCAGTGTCCCCGCAGTGTGCCCATGCTGTCCCCGTCCCCCGTGTCCCCCAGGAGCTGAGCCAGGCCCATTGTCCCCGGCCCAGGGTGACATCGGGCTCAGGGTGGCACTCGGCCACCAGCGGGTGCCAGGACAGGGGGGTGGCGGTGGTGCCACCCCCTCGCGGGTTCTGTGGGACGCCGGAGCACGGGGA